TATATATATATATATGAGTGTGTGTGTACATGTTTCGCATCCAATGATGCCCGTCCTCTTACTATCCCACACACACACACACACATCCACACAGTGTTAGTGAAGCCCGACAATAACAAAAAGATAAAAAGGGTCGCGTGGGAGGAGGTGGCATCCATGTCTGTGGGCGTGCAGCGGGAGGAGTGGGATGTGACATTCCTCCTGCCAAAGGAACAACGTGCCGTTTACCCTCGCGTGCCGCTGCACAACATTGGAGATGTGGCCGAACTGACGCGTGACGCCGTTGCAACATCGTTGAAGATGCGGCGTTATGCCTCTTCTCCAAACACTGATGGACACTGTTTGGTTCCCGGCTTTCTTGTCTACCACTTTTCACCAAGGGAGTTGCAGCACTTGGGACCTGTACTGCTACAGCCAGACGGCATGAGTTGGGCCTCACTCTGCCAGCGGCAAGGGGGTGTTGCGAGCATGTTGCTGCAGATTGTGCCGCTCAACGACCACACAAATGCGCCTGGGAAAGGAGCCACCCCGGTGAATGAGGATCCCGTGCGCTCTGGCGGCGGTGGTGCAGGTGACTTGCCACTCCGCCCCCCAGCAGTGGGCGCTGTGGAATTGCAGCAGTCAACTTCGTCCATCGCCGGTGAGCCGGTGAGCCCATTGCAAGACGACGATGCGATCGGGGCACCCGCTGATAAGAATTCCGAGAAAGTTAAAAGGGTGGCAACGCGGTTCTTACCAGAGGAACATGAACGTCTCTATTCTTCGGAGTCAAAGTTTCGCCTTCCCGATCCTTCACTGGTCTTAGCGAGATTGAGAGAGCAGAACAGCCTGCAGTCTCGGTCACGTGACAGATTTCCGCAGAAATTACCCCACGGCGGCGTATCTGGGAGTACCCCCACCACATCGGTGCGTGTATTTGCACTCACCTATGTGCTGGCACGGGTACAATCTATTTTGAGCAAAAGTGAAGCTAGAGAGAGGGACACCGGAAGGCCCCAGCCTGCGATCACGCGAGAAGGGATCCTGTACTTTGCTGCCGCTCTCGTGAAATACTGGCAGACGAAGCTACTGCTGAGCCCCGTGGCAATGGAGAAGGCGTGGGAAAGTCTCCCTCCGCTCATACGGAATGCACAGTGCGACTACCTCAGGAATTCGGTGTACAGTTTCTGGAAGCAGCTCTGTGAGGCTCAGCAGTTAGATGAAAGAAGCCCGAAAGGAACACAGACTTCTCGGCAGAAGTCACTCCAAGATTTCGGACGAGCGCCGCCGCCGCAAGCATCACCGTCTTTTTGCACGAACAGCTCCGGAGAGACGGAAGTGGAAGAGGTGGTGCTCGTGAAAGAAGTTACGTACTGTTCCTCCACCGGACCGCTCCCACTGCCAGTGGGGAGTATGGCGAATGGTAAACTTGCTGTCACTCTCTCTGCCCCGCCGCAGGTGAACGTGAATGAGGAAGTTGTCATTGTTGGTCATCTGCTTTCGCGAAATTCCGTCGGGTTGTTCTGGTGGGGTGTGGAGAGCATTTCGACTTCGCAGGCAGCAGAATTGGTGTTTCAAAGTGGGGAATCTTCGACGCTCCTCTCGCTGGACACGTTGTACCGCCAGGGTCGTCTCACAACGTTTCAGGTCACCCCTAACACGTTTATTCTCACCATGAAGTCGTGGTCGTTACGTCCATCGCGACACTATCGCTTTGTAGTTGAGGTGTGTGATGTGCGTATAGGAGAGGTTGCTGTCAGTGAAGTGCGGCTTTGGACGCTATAGCATGGCGAAGCTGAGCGCTGTGTAAGTGTTTGAGGTCGTCAGTTTGTAGTTTATTAGTAGTGGCGCCAAGGAGTGTTGGATGATTGAAATCCGTGGATTGAAGAGGGGGGGGAGCCGTTGTTTGGGGTGTTTTCATCCCGGCATTACTTGTACCTTTGCTTCATAGACTTGTCGTGTGAGTGAGTGTGTTTGTGTGTGCGTGTAAGTCAACATCGCACGACGGGTTTCGGGGAAACATTTTCCCTTTCCTGCAACTTAGCGGCACCTTCTGCAAGACGGGGTGCCAGCGACAGAGAGATGTGAGGGTTATGTGTGTATGCGTAAGTGGGTGAGTGCGGCAGCAATCACATGAGGAAGTGTGTGANATCACGGCGATGTGCCTTGTGGTCTGCTCTCTTTTGCTGCACACCCATCATCGCCATTTCCATCATAATCAAGCGGTGTTCCTGCGGCGGTTGGTGGAGGGTGAAGAGGCTCCAAATTTTTATCTCCTCTCGGTTTTCGCCCTATCCGTCAAAATGCTGTCCCCTTTTACCCCCTTCGTTCCTTTCCACTTCATATTAAGTACACTTCGTGAGGTGGCTCACGCGTGTGTTCCGCAGGGCTCGGTGGGCGGCGTGCAGCTCTCAGTTGCAACCTGAGGCCGCTGCGTCGCGCACAACGCCGAATTCCGCGGCCACTCTTCAAGGGAAAAAAAGAATTGTATAAGACGACAAAGGCACAAAGACGGGTGACTCTGTGATATAGAGACCGGGAGTGGTATACAGAAGGACGAAGGAAAGAGAGAGAGAGAGAGAGAGAGAGAACGGGTCGATGAAGGTGCTGTACGGGTCCTCTCTTCCCCCTGGAGTGGAGGCACCCACGCGCGGAGAGCTTCGCATGCGGATAGAGAAGATGGTGTTGAAAGACGAATTGCTGCACATCGGTGTGGCATCAGACGTTTCTTCCGTGGCGCTGCGGCCGTACGTCATTCCTCTTGACCACTGCGCTGTGAGTCCTCTCTTCTGGGGGGAACAGCACCCCAGCTGCCAGTGCGTTCCGTCAACACCAGGGAAGCGGCGTGGTGTAGTGTCACTTGTGTATCCTATAAAGACGTTTGAACAGCAATTCAAAGATTACCTCACCCACATGAGCAATTCATCGCATCGAGGCATTCAGCTTGCCGTTTTCGTGCCGACTAGTTACAGCGGTCGGCACCGGCCGGTGACTGTTGGAAAGAGTATTGTGGCGCTAGACGAACTAAAACCTTCATGTCCCATCTCCGGTTGGTTTACCATCATGAGTGATGAAACAACGACCGATGATGCTGTGCAGAATGAGGGTGAAAAGGGTGTGCCAGGGGCTTTAGTGGAGGTAGGGAAGTTGAAAATCACCTTTACAGTTGCATTCTTTACGCGGGCGCCTCCGTCACCGCCCCGGCCTGCAGCCCGGGCCGCCTCCGCGATGTCCCGAGGAAAAAGTGTTGAAGTAGAAGAAAGGACGCAACTGCTGCTGCAGGAAGGCGGGAGGTGTCATGAAACGGAGTCCTCGACGGCACAGGCACCGCCGTCGTCCTTGCACGAAGCGAGTGTCGCCGCGGCGGTGCAACTATCACCGAAACCAAAACTTCAGCAAGCACAACAACAGCAACGAATAGAAAGAGGTGAAACAACAGAACGAGTACGATTTGCTCCTCAGGCGCAAGCCCACGAAGCTTTGACAGCGGTGATTGAATCGTCCAAGTCAGCGCTTCCAACAACACCACTTAATTTAGAAACAGAGTTGAACCGACGAGATACGATTGGCCAACTCCTTCAACGGGGGTATCGCTTACGCGAAAAAATGGCGAAGGCAACCTCTACTCATGGCGGTATTGAAGCTATTTCCTCTCCTGTCAACCTTATCTCTACACGCCCAACCCCCAGTGTGCTTCAAAACACAGGCTACATTCCCCCTCCGTCGGGTGCTGAACACCTTCATGGCAGTTTGCCCATTCCACGTGATACGCTTGAAAGTTCTGCTAGTTCGGGGAGCGATGCGTCGATGGAAAGCAGTGTAGAGGATGAGGATGATGATGATAATGGCGGTGGCATTGGGGTTGCGCGGCATGACAAGGATCAGAAATCATGGTCTGACGTTAAAACAGGGAAACGTCCGTTTCGGTTGCCATTTCGCACTGGTGGGACAACCCTCAGCGAGGATGCGTATGTGGAGGTTGACATCTCTCGAATTGCGTTTGCATCGGGGCGAAGCACTTTGGGAATGGAGGAGATGCGTATCGGTATTCGTCTCTCGAAGGACGTCAAAACTGACGAACCGGTGGATTCCTACTCTTCCTATGTACATCGTGTTCCCCTTGTCCGTGGTGCAGACCACCACATCGTTATCGGTTTTCCGGTGCGCGCGTTCAGTGCGGACAAAAGTCGCATGGTCATATCGTTCTACCGGGTGCGGTCCGCGCCGGTGGCGAACCCGCCCGGTGAGTTGCTGCTGCCGGTGCCACCCTCCGCGCAGAGGGTGCTCGTGGAGGAGACGCTTCTTGGGATGTGCATCGTTGGACTTTATAGCCAGATGAGGGACATTGTGTTTCATGACCCCATCACGGGTGAAGACCCAGCGCAGGCGCACCTCCGTGTATGTGTGCGCGGCAATCATGCAGACACCACGGAGCACGGACGTGTCAACGGGGCATTGGGTGAGGAGACACTGGCAAGGCAGTCCATCTCGACAGTGCCAGGGGTCAAGGGCGGCAAAATGGCCCTCACCCTGGACAACCGTCGTGTGCGCTCGAGTGGTGCCGTGGAAGGCGCAGCGAACGGCATAGAGGTAAAGAGGGAATCCTCACATGGGCGAAAACGTGACGTGCAATCACGGAGCTCATCTTCTTCGTCATCGTCTTCAACAACCTCGACGGCGCATTCGTCATCGTCCTCTCCCAGAAATAGGGCAGCAGAGAGAGTGAGAGCAAGTGGTGGTGGTGGTTCACCTAACTTGGGCAACGTTTCTGGAGCCCCACCCCTACCGTCCTTTAGTGCCGCCGCACGACACCCTACCGTGACAGCTGTTATGTCTGCGGCAGCTGCTCATAATAATAATAATAATATTGATGCTGCTACTGCTGATGATGATGATAGATACAAGGATGGCTACCCTGTAGAGTATGTCACCCGCACCGGTGCCGCGACTACCCTGCCGCAGCATGTAGAGCGTCAGCTAGCGACTGCTCCCTCAGATCGTTTCCGCATGCATGTATCGATACGCTCTGGAAAAGACCTTCCGATGGTGACGCTGACTCGCAGCGGGTCTCCTCTGGTGTCCGTCGTCGCTGCAGTCGATCAACTTAAGAATGGTGTCCGCTCCGCTGTCACATCAGATGGTCGCCTTGTCCTTGTCGACAGTGAGCATCGTATTTTCCAGCCTCCGACAACATTCTTTGTTATTGAAGACGTTTACAGTGGGGCGGAGTCACGTGCAGCTTCGCGAGGTGCCGTGCCTGATTGGTACGTTGAAGCCGCAGTGCGTGGCGAGTACGACCGCACGCTAGTGGTTCCACACTCCCGCAACCCTCAGTACGAGTACGAGTGCGTCCTCTCACTTCCACGAGAAGCGGTGTGTCTGCGGCAAGCTGTCGACGGCGAGCGCGCCGTGCCACGCGCCAGAAATTCACAGTTGGCGCCGGACTCTGATCTGTCCAAGGCGTCACGTCCCTCCATGTATTTGCAGGAGATGCGTCTGACGCTATGGCACGCCCTGAACGACGTAGACCCCGTGGCATCGACTGAGCCTGTGAACGACGAAAAGGAATTCTGGGCGAGGACTGCGATGTTGGGTGACTGCCGCGTTGACCTCCGCTCTCTGCGCTTCTTAAAAGTGCTTGATGGATGGTACCGCGTCAACTCAGCGGAGAAAGTTGATGAAGTTGTTGGGTACGTTCGTGTCAGTGTGCGGCTGTTGTAGGCAACCGTCAGATTGAGAAGATGGGAAGAGGAAGGGCCGATTGCGCAGCGTGTTTGCCATGCCGGTGAGCACACCATAAACCGTGTTCAGTGAGGGTGGGAATGAAGGAGAAAGATATATGCTCACCTTCCTTACCTCAGTCGAAGCGGCACAAACGCCGGTAGAGGGAAAGGGTCAAACAAAAGAAGGCGAAGCAGTGGAGAGACGGAGTGGACGTGCGGTTGAGTTGTCGCATACTTCTGCGCTGCTGTAGCACCAGCACCCGTCACGATGGTCTGTGAGAAGGAAGCCCCAAGTTATTCAGGGGAAGGAAGGAAAGGAGATGTGGTGATGGAGGTAGTGGCATCCATAAGGCACTGAAAGGAAGGTGGGCAACGGTAGTGGTGAGCACAGTGGCTGAATGGCATTCCTCGCCAGTCATTTCAGGGGATTCTGTGTATGTGTTTGTTTCTATGTGTGTCTGTGTACGTTTTCTCAACCACGTTTTTTTTGTCCTTGTCGTTGTTCTTTTCTATTGCCTTCTTTCTGTTTCTTGGACTCCGGCAAACCGCCACATGTCAGTCCTCTTATTTTTTGTTCTGACACCGCCTATTTTCTCTTCCTTGTCGTCTCTCTCTCTGTCTCTCGCTCGCTCGTCGAACAGCCGCTGCCAAGTGGGGGAATCCAGTGGTTCGGTTGGGCAAGAGCCAAGGGGCCCTGATGCTGATGCGCGCCGCAGAGAACTGTGAGGCGCCTTTCCTCTCTCCTGATAGGGAAGAGGGAGAACCTGCTGAGCTTCTCCCACAGCGAGAGAGTGAAGACGGTGATGGCAACAAAAGTGTTAGCAGCCGGAACGCGTGGCTTAGATCTCATGAAATGCCTGGAAGAAGAGACTCACCCTTTTTATCGGAATCGGCATTATCAGAGACGTTTGAACTCACATCGGTGTATTGTGTTTCATCGGATTTGAGATCGGAAACTAGGGTGAAATCATTTTGTTCAATGGTGTCTATTATGCGCGTCACAGAGAGCATGCATCTACAACTGCTCTTCTGCCTCATATTCTTGGTTCACTGCTCCATCACTGTTTACGGGTATTTAGCGGCTGTCGGGGAAGTGATTCCCGTAAGTGTGGCTATTGCATTCGCATTTTTGGTTGAGCATGCCCTTATGATCGCTGACGAGGGAAAGAGTCACTTTGGCTCATCGGCCCATAAGTATTTGATCATATTTATTAACTGTTCATTGCTGATTGCCTTCGCAATGGAGGTGTTCGGGTTTATTGTGTGGTGCGCCACTGGGAGGGTGGATGTAGTCCTCTTTGGGTTTCCAGCAGCAGTTTTGATGTGGTGCCCGCGATGGCGCCAACTGGTGTTGGCGCTCCGCCGACGCGTCTCAGCTGACCGTCGCCGGTATCGAGAAGACGGATTTGATCTTGATGTGTCGTTCATTGATCCAACAGTGGCGGCCATGTCGTGGCCAGCCGAAAATGCTGAGTGTATATTCCGCAACCCTGCATGGGAGGTACAAAGGCTCCTTGATATAAAATACGGGATTCACGAATATCACGTATTTAATCTTTGCTCGGAGCGAGGCTACAGCAATACCGCATTATTTCACGGTGATGTTTCGTGCTACCCAATGGATGATCATAATCCAGCCGAGTTGAAAATGATGGTGGAGTTTGTGCAGGAGGCCGGTGATTTTGTGCGCATAGCCCCTGAACGCCGTGTGGTTGTGGTGCACTGCAAAGGCGGGAAGGGGCGCACCGGGACTATGGTGTCCGCGTATCTCATGTACAGTGGGCGCAAGGCGACAGCTGATGAAGCTCTGGATCACTTCAGTGTGATGCGCACCGCATTTGGGGGGAAATTTCAAGGCGTGCAGACGCCGTCGCAGGATCGCTACGTTCGCTACTTTGAAAGGCTGCTGCCGTTAATGCGGCGACCGTACACGCTGCAGTTGGATGCAAAGCCTAAAAGGATCACACACATGGTGCTGCAGAATATACCATCGATCTGGTGGAAAGGTGGCATTGGAAAGTTGTGGTACGTGATCATTCTTAAGCCGTGTTCAGAGAGGCGCGTGGTTCATGTCTCAAACAATACAGTCACTTTTAATGTCAAATCATCCGAGAGGCACGCACCACGAGTGTGGACCCAGGTGCGTGATGTCTGCATACCAGAAGAAGAGGCTCTCTATCGTGAATCTCAGAATGTAGATCATTTTGAAAGAATGTGCCCGTGTTATGATACTTTTGCGGTGATTCTTAACGGTCGTCGTATGGACACGAAAACGTTTGACGGTCAGCAAGGTGGAAAATCTCCTCCAGAGAGCGGTACGTTTAACGTAACATTAGAGGCACTGCATCTGGAGAAGGTGCCGCCTCTCCTAGGCGATGTTGTTATTAAATTCTACTACGCGAAGAAGTGTCCCAACCCCCTTGAACCACCTGTTCAGTTGTGGTTTCACACGTCTATGGAAGGTAATGAACTGTGTTTGGCTAAGCGGCAGCTGGATGGCCCACACAAAGACACGAAGGACGAACACTACCCGGATGACTTTGCGGTGATTCTGCGTCTGCAGGACGAACATGAACAGTGTTAGGGTCTTGTATGGCCGCTCAAGGTGCGGTTGGGGGGTCCTGGTGCATCTCTCACCGTTGGCACATAATCCATACGAAACATAATACTTGTCTGATGCCGTCGTATATATCACTTCTACACTTCGAAAATGAACGAGTGACATAAAAGGACAGAATCAGACCACACTACCCAAATCATAATTCTTCTCTGAACAGTCTCATCACTCAATTGGGTAATCCTCATTCATAATCGTTTCTCCAAATGAATATTCAAACAAAGCAACGGGAAAATCTCCAGGCCCCACCACTTCCATACTCCGCCGCGTGGAGGGAATTAGGGGGCGGGTCCGACAGCAAAGTTAGACCTTCTCCAACAGACCCCACTCGAAAGCATCAGATGTAACAGAAAACAATGGGGAAAATAACATTACCACCACTAACGCAGTCAGCAACCGTTTCAACGACGACTATTACCACAGGCTCCCAAAATATAAAAACGTTTTCTTCTGATGCCTCCTTTTTATTAAATACCACACACACTCGCGGCACGCCTACCCGCCGCATTTCAATCCTCCCCCACTCAGTACCCACGATTCAGGTCGACAAAGTAGGTCTCCACCTTGTTTGTCTTCAGGTACTCCTTCAGCAGGCCCATGAAGCGGTGGACCGACGAGGGGACCAGGTTGACGCTCCTGTCCGCTGAGTGAGCGGAGAGGAGGAGCTTGTCGTCGCTGATGTCCCACAGCGGGGACTCAGGGCCCAGCGGCTCCTTCTGGAACACGTCCACGGCAGCACCGCGGATGGTACCGTTCCGCAGCGCCGCTGCGAGGTCGTTCTCATTCTGTGTGATGCCACGGCCAATGTTGATGTAATACCCCTCCGGCTTCATCATGGCAAAGCGCTCCTTGTTGAAGAACTCCTTTGTCTCATCCGTGCCCGGCATGACGTTGACCACGAAGTCCGACTCGCCGAGCACGCGCTTCAGCTCCGCCTCACCGTGCACCAGACGCACGCCGCACTCGTCCACGTCCTTCGCGGGGGCGGAGCGCTTCACGCCCGTCACGTCCATCCCGAACGCGGTGGCCAGCTTGGCGGTGGCATGTCCGATGTCGCCGTAGCCAATAATACCCATCTTCAGCCCGCGCAGCTCCACCATGTTGAATGGGTCCCACTTGTGCTCCGCGCGGCTCGCCTGCAGGCGCCACGTCTGGCGGCTGAAGTACAGCATGGCGTATATCACGTGCTCCGCCAGGATGGGGGAGTAGCAGCCACGGGCATTTGCAAATGGGATTTCCTTCAGCTCCTTCGTCAGCTCACCCAGCCGGTAAACATCCACGCCGGCAGTCAGTGAGTAAATCCAGCGGACACGGCGCTTCTCCTTCGGCAGGCTGTAGTCGTCGCAGAGGTACTTCATGACGTCGTGTGCCACGGCGCCCTCGACGAACATGATGATCGGGTCCTGTGCCTTCTTGGCGGCCTCGAAGTCCTCCACCTTCGAGCCAAGGGTAATGCCCTTGAGGAGGCTGCTGAGGTGCTTGTTGAACGTGGTCATGTAGTACTCGGCATTGGCCGATGCCGTGCACACGCAGAGTCTGTAGGTCATCTTCTGGGATACGCAGATGTGAGTAGGAACACGAGTCTGGATTGCTGAATCGTTTGCTTGACTAAAACGGTGGCAAGAGCGGGAAGAAGAGAGAGAGAGAGAGAGAAGTGAGGGGAAGCCGCAAGCACGCGGAGACCAACCGTTGCTACACGCTCTCAAAGAAGAAAGAGGAAACAACCGTATTCACAAGCCCTCTGCTGCTCCCCACCGTTTCAGCAGTATATCTTGACCCGGCGGGTCGGAGAGAGAGAGAAACAAAGCGTAACCACGGCTTCTCCCTTTCCCTCTCCCCCTCCTCTACACCGCCTTTCAGTTTCTTCAACCCGTTCCAAAGAAAAAAAAATCGAATAGAAAAACGTTTTCTTGTGATGCCTCCTTTTTATTAAATACCACACACACTCGCGGCACGCCTACCCGCCGCATTTCAATCCTCCNAGAGGAAACAACCGTATTCACAAGCCCTCTGCTGCTCCCCACCGTTTCAGCAGTATATCTTGACCCGGCGGGTCGGAGAGAGAGAGAAACAAAGCGTAACCACGGCTTCTCCCTTTCCCTCTCCCCCTCCTCTACACCGCCTTTCAGTTTCTTCAACCCGTTCCAAAGAAAAAAAAATCGAATAGAAAAACGTTTTCTTGTGATGCCTCCTTTTTATTAAATACCACACACACTCGCGGCACGCCTACCCGCCGCATTTCAATCCTCCCCCACTCAGTACCCACGATTCAGGTCGACAAAGTAGGTCTCCACCTTGTTTGTCTTCAGGTACTCCTCCAGCAGGCCCATGAAGCCGATAACATAGGAGCGGATGCAGTCGACGCTCCTGTGGACTGAGTGAGCGGAGAGGAGGAGCTTGTCGTCGCTGATGTCCCACAGCGGGGACTCAGGGCCCAGCGGCTCCTTCTGGAACACGTCCACGGCAGCACCGCGGATGGTACCGTTCCGCAGCGCCGCTGCGAGGTCGTTCTCATTCTGTGTGATGCCACGGCCAATGTTGATGTAATACCCCTCCGGCTTCATCATGGCAAAGCGCTCCTTGTTGAAGAACTCCTTTGTCTCATCCGTGCCCGGCATGACGTTGACCACGAAGTCCGACTCGCCGAGCACGCGCTTCAGCTCCGCCTCACCGTGCACCAGACGCACGCCGTACTCGTCCACGTCCTTCGCGGGGGCGGAGCGCTTCACGCCCGTCACGTCCATCCCGAACGCGGTGGCCAGCTTGGCGGTGGCATGTCCGATGTCGCCGTAGCCAATAATACCCATCTTCAGCCCGCGCAGCTCCACCATGTTGAATGGGTCCCACTTGTGCTCCGCGCGGCTCGCCTGCAGGCGCCACGTCTGGCGGCTGAAGTACAGCATGGCGTATATCACGTGCTCCGCCAGGATGGGGGAGAAGCAACCCCGACCGTTCGTGAAAGGAATACCTTCAAGTTCCGTGGTTAGTTCATTCAGCCGGTAGCAGTCAACTCCAGAAGACAGACTGTGAATCCAGCAGACACGGCGCTGCTCCTTCGGCAGGCTGTAGTCGTCACAGAGGTGCTTAATAGCTTCGTGGCCAACACTATTCGCAACAATAAGCACAATGCGCTCACCCGACATTTTAGCCGCTTTAAGCTCTTCACAAGACAAATCATGGCACGCTATTGTCCGCCTGAAAGTGACTCTGTCAGTGAGAATGCCAACAATAGAGTTCAAGAATCCCTCTGGGACACCGGCCACAATGCACAAAGTGCACTGGTATATACTTCCTCGCATATTTCGTTTTGATTGGGGGAAACCTTAAAGAACAAACTATGAATATCAGATAAAAAAACAAAGTTGGAAATTAAAGCTCTCTTAAGGCTCAGCACTTTTAGGATACACCACACACTCTATCAATGTGATCATCCAATACGTAAAACTACCATGCAGTAGTAGCCATCCTCCAAGGAAGGCTAATAGTCCCCAAAAACGTTTTCCACACAAAAAACCACATACCATCAAAAACTTAAGCGGCTTGACACAAAGAAACCCCGTTGCGCAAACATTATGTGAGCATAAAACTCTTTTGTCGTCGCTGATGTCCCACAGCGGGGACTCAGGGCCCAGCGGCTCCTTCTGGAACACGTCCACGGCAGCACCGCGGATGG